AGTTCAAAATCTTTGTCCTCACTTTCAAAGCCCTCCACGGCCTTGCTCCTTCCTACCTCTGTGACCTGCTAATCCCATATCAACCCGTCCTGTCCCTTCTCTGTCCAGCTCCACATCCCCTGCCCCACCCAGCCCTCCTCACCAACCAAGGTCGGCCTCTCTACCCCCGCTGTGGAAGTTTATGGTACAGTCCCTTCACCTTGCTCCCTCCCTTGCCTCCTTCGAGGAACTTATCGGGACTCACCTCCAACCTCCAACTCACCTCCTTCGGCCACCCTCCTATCCCTTACCCTCCCTGCCCTCAACCCCTCCTGATCCCAACCCTCCTGCTGTCCAGCACCTTGGGACGTCCTAAAGGTGCTATACAAATGTAATTTGTTGTACTTTAATATCATGCAGAAACCTAACACAATTCCTAAGAGTATCCAAGCTAAACAGAGTTTAAAATATGTATTTGTTCCAAATACGTATTACAAATTTCCTCCCCCTCTTCTGTGACCATTACCACATCATCTTGGTCCCAGACACACCCTTCCTCTCCCTGATCTGCCTGTTTTGTTGCATGTTCTTCCCCCGCCCTCCACCCCTTTTGTTCTGCAGTATTAACACCTCTATTCGCTGCTTTGTTGCAATCGCCGCTTTTGTTCTGTCGCACAAGGGGGGGTGAGGGGGCGGCCTGAGAGAGGTGAGAGGCATTGGATCACGTGGTGAGTAAGGGGGCGAGGAATGTTGATCACGTGGCGAGCAAAGGGGATCAGTCACCCCATGTGCCCTTACTGGCCTTGAAGTAGCATGTGCGTGTGGATCAATCGCAGGACATAAGTCCTGACCCATCACTGAATGTACACTTGCATGCTACAATGCCGAAGGACCGCATGCGCATAACAGTGAACAAGTAAGGAAGGCAAGGTTTTGACCAGTCAACATGGCATCAGGCAACATAGATACCCCAACTAAATACAAATTAAGTTTATATTCTATTAAGACAGTTCTGTTTTGAAACTTGTTTGGTTGTGCCATTCGTTGTACATGTTTTCTGTACATGAGGTACTGTGCAGTACTGTATATGGAAAGAATGGGCTACGATAGATTTAACATGCATAGGTTAAACATGATATAGAAATCTTGTCTCAGTGTCGCCAGCCAGCTCAGCACTTGTGTATGTGTTAGTCATATAAAATCCGACTTGTATATAACTTTACATAAGTCATATATGATATGACTTATGCAAGTTTGCCATAACTCATACTTTGCGTATGTTGTATTAAATATTCTGGTCCCAACTGATATGACTTATGTGAGTTTACTGCATTTTTATTACTTATTTTAACATCATGCGACAGTAATTTTGAACCAGACATTTAGTACACATCATTTCACAGAGTATCACGTTAAAATGCAACAAGCTAAAAAAAGGATTTTTTATTCATCTGATTATAACCCAGATGTAGCTGGAGGCAGGTTGTTAAGTGAACATCAATGGTAATATATTGCTCAGTTAAACTTAACTGAGTAACTGCGTTAGGCTTGGGACTCATCTGTGTACTCTGAAATAATAAGCTTATGTTTTAGACCAGGCGGTTGTCATGTCATGTGCTTCTCTTAGCCTGAGTTTCAGATAACAGTTTTGAACCTGAATAAAAAGAGCTCTGTTTCCATAACAGTTCTTTTCATGTTCAGAACAGCTGCCCACAGCTTTCCGTTATGTTGGAACTGCAGGACTCTTTATTTTTATATTTCAGTAAAGGAACTGCACTTTATTTTCATTCTCTTTCTTGACTTGTTATCGCTGGATGAAGCTCAAAAACAATACAGGTGATTTGTATGATGGGCGTGTGGATACAGCAAGGAATAAATATGACTTTTAGTTCCTTGTGTTTTTCTTTACTAAATTACTTTCCTCCATTGTCAGTGTTGATTTGTAAGAACAAAGTTTAAAAAATATATCCTTTTGTAACAACACTATGATTTAGTTGCCAAGTGAATACAAAACTGTTTTCCTAATTTCAATAGTTTTGTACATTTGGTCCCTTAAGTTAAAAATAATTATTGAAGATCATACTTTTGTACATTTCAAAATAGTTCTTTTATAAACAATTGAGATTTAATAGAACATCTATAAATTATGAACATAAAGAATAATGTTGTAGTTTGCAGACAAAACTACTTAGTGCCAATAGGGAAAAAATCAAAACTATTGAGGGTATAATTTTTTGAAAATTTTTTATATTCTTACCTACAAATATCTTAATTGTTTTGCCACTGAACAAATGTTATCCTGTGTTATGTTTTTGTCTCACTGTTGTACTCCAGATTGTTTAAGATTTGCTGAATTAATATAGGGGTAGTCTATCTAGCATGTGTTCAAGTAGGAATATTTAGTGTGCAAAGGGCAAGAGACGAAGGGCTATGAGATGCCTGAAACAAATGTAGTTACCAAACAAACAAACATTTCATGAGAGAAGGTAAAATGTAAGTACTTGTTTCACTCCTTTGTTCTGATTGGAGAATTCATTGAGGGGGAGGAAGATTAGGATCACAAATGTACAGTTTATTTTCTTTTTAAAGCTGGGAACGTGAGTGAAACATCTGTCATGATTGTTTTGCTGTGGCAGGTTAAGAATTAGCAAAAATATGTCCACAGCAAGGGAGTGCTCAAGTGTTAAAGCACTTATTAAACTCCTGCTGTGAGGTTACAGCCCATTAAGATTTCTTACCTTGTAGCTGATTGTTTGAGTGGAGCGATTAGTCTTCTGTCAGACTGGATAGAAATTGATTAAAATGTTGAATATTGCAGATCAAAACTTACTTGAAAACATACAAGGAGAGTCTTTTTTGCCCTTTGTACGTAAGCACATGGCATTCCTGGACTCTCTGATTTTAAATTCTCAGTACATGTGCATTAGTGTCTGAATGGTTTCATCAACTTTTGTTGTCTGTTTCAATCACAAAGGAAGGGCCATTTTCCTTCTTAGAGTGGCTTTGACAGCATTGTAAGTAGTGAAGTGCTTCCGCCTGTCAGCTCCTCCAGATGGCCCAGTTAAGGTGGTGACCTCAATATATGGAGAATAATGAAAAAGAGCCCATGACATGCCACTCTGCTGCCTTTTACAGAAGTGATGGTTGCATAGCTTTTAGTTAGAAGTGTTTATTTCAAGTAATAGTTTATTGAAAAAGATGGGAAATGTATAAGCATCAGAGGAAGGAAGCTCAATAAATGGAAAAGATTTCATAGGTTTTATCGATAGGGGCATAGAATACAAAACCAAAGAGGTAATCCTGAATGTATATTAAGATACAATGAAAATTCAACACAGATTTATAATAGCACTTTTCATAAAAGAAAAACCTTAAAGTGCTTGACAAGAAAAGATTAATTAGCAAACAATAATAATCCTTGGATTTAATATAGCACGTATAAAACCAATTGTCCTAAAACTCTTCACAACGTTTCTGTGAAGTGTGGTTACTGTTTTGCTGTTGTTATTAACAGAGTAGTATTCAGGCAAATAGGGCAGCTAATTCTTCTCTCCCCCAGCAACATCCCACAAACAACAATGGGATGGGCAGGGGATATAAACCAGGATGTATGGGAGAGAAAAATCTTTGAAATGGGTCACTTAACAGCCAGCCAACTGAAACACAAGGCAGACAGGATCTAAATTGACTCTGGTGGAAATAAATAAGAAAATACTGTTCATTACATAGAATGTTGTTCTGTAAGCAAATGTAGCAGTCAATTTCCATCAGTTTGTCCTGCAAACAAATGAAATGAGTAGTAAAATGATTTAATTTTTGAGGAAGAAATTGTACATAATATAGAATGTTGTTATAAAGCATATATAGCTTTATATATATTTGTACCAGCAGTCAGTTTGTCGTACAAGGGATGTTTGTCGCACGTGAGGGATACAATTATTTTTAATTTGTGAGGGGGATAAATTTAGATGTACAGCAATAACTGCCCTTTCATCAAATTAAACTTTCATTTATAGTGTAAACTTGATATGTTTGTTATTTTCAGTAACATTGCTTTGTTTCTTTAAACTCTTCATGTAAGTGGATTTGAAGTTTCAGGTTTACTGACTGCGCTTTTTCATTTCTCATGGTGTGCTCTTGGGAGAATCTTGAAAATATAGTATTTATTTGTATTTCATTATTTGTGAGCCATCTGAAGTTATGACCCCACTCTTTCTGTAACATTGCAGTGGGAGGAGGGAGTCAATTTAATTTCAAGACATAACATAACAACAACAACAAAATTACATTTTCACGTTGGGAGGACATCTCAAAGCGCTGAACAGTCAGATGTCGGGGCCCGAGCATGGGGGAGGGGTGGTGTAGGGGAGAGGGAAGGCAGAGTGGTGGGAGGGAGACCAAAGGCACGATCGAAGAGAAGGTTCTTGAGACCGGCCTTGAAGGAGGCAAGGGAGGAAGCGAGGTGAAGGGACCATGGGATGGAGTTCCAGAGTGTGGGGCAGAGAGGCTGAATGCCCGGCCACCGATGGTAGAGCAGGTCGGGCGGGAGACGTGGAGCAGACCGGAGCCTGATGAATGGAGGGAGTGGGCAGGTTGGTAGGGAGTCAGTAGGTCAGAGAGGTAAGAGGGAGCAAGGCCATGGATGGCCTTAAAGGTGAGGACGAGGATCTTGAACTCGATCCTCTGGGGGATGGGGAGCCAGTGGGGTCGGGCCAGGGTGGGAGTGATGGTGCACGAGAGTACATGAGCTGCAGAGTTTTGGATGATCTGCAGCTTGTGAAGGGAAGCGTTGGGAAGGCAGATGAGGAGGGAGTTTTCATAATCAAGCCTTGATGTGACGAATGTGTGAGTGAGGGTTTCAGCAGCCTGAGGGGTGAATGAATTAGTAATGAAATGTGCAGCAAGCATAATTATACTTTTGCCATAATTGACCGAGACTGAATTTTGTTTAATTAATGCGTGTTGACTAAGTAATTCTTGTTGATTAATAATAAATTATTTTCTTAAAATTGTTTCTGCAGGATTTGGAAATCGTTTATTCTTATCTTCATGGAATGGAAGCACTTTCTAACCTGAGGGAACACCAGTTCAGGTAAAATGAACTGCAAATAGAACTTGATTTTATAATTTAAAGGGGGAAAAAAAAGTAAGACATCATTAAGTTTAATGGGTTGTAACCAATCCATGGCTGCCCGAACTGGATAGTTCACTGTTGGTAATTATGCAGCAATATCCAACTGACAATACCAAAATCAAGTATTTCAAATCCTCTCTCTATAGGCTGCAGATCATCCAGAACTCTGCAGCCCATGTCCTTTCCCGCACTAGGCTCCATGACCCTATCAACCCCATCCTCGCCCGACTATCACACAGAGGATACAATTCAAGATCCTGGTCCTCACTGTCAAAGTTCTCCATGGTCTTACTCCCTCTACCTCTGCAATCTCCTAACCCCCAACATACCGCCCGCTCCCTCCGCTCAGCGGGCTCCGCCCTGCTTCACGTCCCCTACCTCGCCCACCCCACCATTGGCGGGTGGGCCTTCTGACACTCTGCCCCCACCCTCTGGAACTCCATCCGCACTACCTCCACCTCGTGCCCCCCTCCCTCCTTACCTCCTTCAAGACCCATATCAAGACCCTCCTCTTCAATCGTGCTTTTGATCACCCTGCTTCCCCATCTGTCCTCCATCCTCCCCAATTCTAACCCCCAGCTTGGGTCCAAAACTGATTGTTCAGCACCTTGGGGCGTCCTCCCTACGTGAAAGGTGCTATACAAATTGTATATCACGTATCACAACTCTCTTGCTAAATTTAATAGAACCTGTTTGGAACTTCTCCTCATTTGTAGTGAAATAACTGGAGCAGCCAAGCGAGGGAAGAGACTGATTCCAGTTTGTGTAGAAAATTGAGAATTTTGCACGAAAATACATTATAATCCTGCAATTTTCTTGAGAGTATTTTTAACCACAAGAACTCCCTTGGTATTGCTTCACTTTGTTTTAATCAGAGCCATGAATAATCCCATTTTATTTTCCTATAAATGTTGAGTTTAAAACCGTTTTTGAAAGATGATTTAAAAAAACTAATGTTTTTGAACTTTTATTTGCCAATGCATTTTACATAACCTTCTGAAGAACATATTAGTCCCATTATGGGATTGTTAACTAATAGTTTTTTGATGGGGTCTTGTATTATGCTGCTTCTAACATTCCTCATTTGCAAAGTTCCTCTTTGAGCTGGCAGGCTTCATAAAGAAGTTGAAAAATAAGTGTCCCAACATTTTCTATATAAAACCGTCATTATTAATCCCAACTCAGATTAAACTTTTTAAACTGACACCTGTTAAACAGTACATCTTTCAAAAACAATTAAGTAGTTGTATTCAGATATTGTCCAGTGCTGTACTGATGCAAGTCAGTGATTGGTTGTATCTGAGGAATCTACCGAGTTGGTAGGTCATACAGTGTCTAATCATTCTGCAAACAAAAAGAAAAACTGATTTCCCAGGATTCCTGCTTATATAGTAAAAATCACGTATGCCACACCAGTGGGGACCATAATATTTATTGTGACTTACGTGATTTAATGTGGTTTAAGCAAGATTAATTGGGGGTAATGTAAAAGGGACTTTACTCTGCATTTGGCATATGCTGCAGTTTACCTGTGGAGTCCTGCAGCTCAGTGGTTAGAGCACTCGCTTTGCAAGCGAGAGACCTGAGTTCAGTTCCAGACAGGGCGAAACCTTGGGCAAGTTTCCTTACTCCACACGCCTAATAATAATCCCTCCAAAAAAACAAAACAATAATAAATTGGTCATTTTCAATCCACGACTGTTTGTGGGACATTGCTGTGCGCAATTGGCTGCCGCGTTCGCCCACAAATATACAGTCAATTCACTTTACAATATATTCTGTGAAGCGCTTTGGGACGTCTAGAAGCCGTGAAAAGCGCTATATGAAATGCAAGGATTATTATTATTACCTGGAAGTGCTGAATGATGTTAAAAGGCATCAAAAGTAAACAAAATTGGCATGGCATTTTATATTATCTAAAGTGGTGTCTTTTGTTTGTTACTGATGCATAGTGCAGTAATCAAGAATTGTTTATTTAGTATGGGAGTTCTGTAGTATTTAGCAGGCGAACATGACAAATTAATATTTGCATCAGTGGTATGACTGGAATCTTTCTTTTCCTATTCCAGGTTAATGTGCAAAACCGTGAGATATGAAAGACATGAAGCAAATGAAGTCCTGTACTAGTAAGTCAATGAACTATATTTGTTGTGACATTTTGATCATAAACTTATTGACCATTTAACTCAGTTGTGGCCAACCCATTGGTGCATGGGTGAAAAAGTGCTGAACATTTGCACTAGTCTAGATAAGTCTGTGTTAAATCAATCTCCTGTATTTTGTTTCCAAGAGTCACTGAGTAGCGATATTTGTGATGTGGCCATAAATCAGGAAATATTCAATCAAGAAAAATGTACTTGGTCGACTGACTCAAAAGGTTGGCCACTGATTTAATCCATCAAGCCTAAGCCAGTGCTTGCTGAACCACTGGAGCTAACTACTTGACCCTCAACATTATTAATGTGCAAATCTAGATTCTGAGTGTTGACAGGCTATTCAGATGCAGTGAATTCAGCTCAGTCTGTAGCTCTTTTCCTGAGGAATAGAAGTTTGTGGGTCGAACCACACTTTGAGGACTTTGAGCTTACAGACTGGTTTCACACTTCATTGTAATGTTGGGGAGCATAAATTGTCAGAACTGCTGTCTCTCAGATTAAATGTTAAACTGAAATCCTATCTGCCTGATCAGTTTGTGCTAAAGATGCCAAAGAATCAATGATACTATTCAAAAAGAGAAGGGAGTTTCTCTAGCTACATTGGTTATTCATCACCTGGCAATTTACCGGACATTGCTATGAGCAAATTGTCTTCCATGTTTGTAATTAGGGTAAAGCACTTTGAGATTATTTGACTTGAAAGACACTACATCAAATGCAAAGAATATCATTTTAATTATTAGCAGCAGTCAGAATGCAAGGTGATGTTTTCTTTGAGGGTGCAGAAGAAATTTCACAGGCTCTGTTGCTGTCATTTGACTTTTTTTATATACATTATGTAACTGGCACATTGTATTAACCAGCCTGCCAAAGACTATTTACTTAAAATATTCCCATTTAAGCAAGTACACCTCCGTTGTTTTATTATTTGGAGACTATTCTGGGTTACCTGCTAATTATTATAATTTAAATATGTATGTTCCAATTGACACTGTTTTGGAACAAAGTGTGGATTTTTTGGAAGAAGGAAAGGCCAAGGAGAATTGCTGTTTAAATTTGAAAGTTTATTTTAAACTTAAAAAAATTCCAAACAATTTTTCAGCTTATACCAATAGCTTCCATATAATGTTCTATTTCTTTGTCAAATTCTATCCATCTCTCTTAAATTGTTATTATTAAGGACACTTTTCTGCACAACGTGGGATGTCCATATAAAGAAATGGTTGGTCAGATGAATGCACACACCCAACACATAGGCAGATGTTGGCAGAGATCTGATGAACTGGAAATCGATCATTTTGTTTTCAGTACCAAATAAAGTGTGAATTCTGGATCATCAGGTTGCTGTCAATGACATTGTCAGTGAACCTGAACGCAGAGGAAACAACATTGGCAGTGATCTGATGAGCCTAAATTAGTGTTCCAAAAGCTGATGGACACTTGTTTTCTGTTTGGGTGTCTGTGTCCTGATTAATTAAGGAAGATTGTGTTCTGGATGAATATACAGGATAACCAAGAAGACGTGATACCATTACAATGTCTAACAAGTCTTAAAGAAATGATTTTTTTTAGATAGTAGGGTAGCTGCACGACTTTTTGGTCACCCTGTAGTTTCTTCTTAAAGGTTCAGTGAGATTCAGATACTTGGGGCATCAACCTGTACCAGATTTAGCATCCTGATCGAATAATTCTTTGGAAAAAATCTTAGTTTCCTGTTACATTGTGTCCCTTTTCCAATTGGGACAACAATTAGTAGTAATCTTATTGATGTTTACATTTGCTTATTGTAGACCATCAGCTCCATTGTGTAGATGCATTTGCTCACGATATGATGGAACAGAACCCTTCCGACAATCATCTCCAATTGCCTATTTATTAAGTTTTGTCCCAAACTTGCAAAGTAGGTCAGTATGTTTAGATGAATAACTGAAATTAAGTGCATTCTCGATGGCTATCATCCATTTCAAAGGAAATCAGTAGTTTTGCCTTCATACCTGTTGGATGACTGCATTTAAAAGAAGCTTTGATTTAAAAACTCCAATAATGGCATTTGCAAGACCACTAAATGAAGTGATCCTCACACATTTAAAAAACATTCTAGAGTATACAAATTACAACATAGCCTATTCACCTATTGAGCCTTTGATTGAGCTCCATCAGAGTTAATCACAATTCCTTGCATTTTCCCATAATCTTTTATATTGTTTCTTTTCAATAGTTTTGAATTTCCTTTTAAATAATAGAGCCACTGTCAATAGACATTACTGCTTAGATCCAGCAGCTGTGATGGGTGACGGTCTATCCTAGCAGCTGGGGTATCGTCTTGCTGCAAGCTTACCCCCTTGATATCCTGATTACTTAATGTGTTGATCAGGATTGTCTATTTGGGAAATCGGGAAATTTCCCGCGTGCATTTACAGTATACATAGGCAGCAGGTGGCTAGAGCTAGATGGGGTAGTTGGAGATTGAAAGCTGCCACCAGCCCCAATTGCACCATTCCTGGGTCCCCAAGAATCGACTGATATACACTTCACACACCCACACATCGGCCTTATAGGCACTTACACGCAAGTGCAAATGGGAGCGCTTGCGCCTGACGCAGGCATAGATGCTGCTATTTTCCTCCTTATGCAGATCACTCTTCACTTTATCTTGGTGGGATCGCTGGGAAGGCTGGAAGAGAGGAAAGTCACCACCAGCAACATGATGGTGAATGGCCTAACAATGTGCCTGGCTGGCTACCCACATCCTGCGCCATCAGGGGGGGAGGGGGGCAGAGGTGACCGCGGTGGTGCCAGGGTTTGGATGATACTGATATGTGAGGGAGGGAGAGCTTTATGTGTTGCTTTATGCTTTTTGGTGCTGGCGCCTCCACGAATTGGCGCTGCCCTTTTCCATGAAAATCCCAAACCCTTTTGGGGAGCCAGTTGATTTATAGCAGTGAGTGGAATGTAGACTCTCTGGAGGGACTTGCCCAGTTTACCTAATTTTGTAGAGTATTTGGTGCAGATTGGCAAGAGCTAGGGCTTGGGAACCTCAAGAATTTGTATTGGGGTACTGCGAGAGTTAACCAGCTAAAACCGCACAGCTTGCCAATGAGAATACAGTGTGGCAAGCTCCCTGCCACTTGTCCAGCCAGGACCTCTCCACCTGTTTAAAGCGTTGGCTTGCAGGATTAACAGGAGCTGAGTGGGAAGTACCTCTGTTCCCAGTGACTGCTTGGACTGTCATCAGAGTATATGGTGTATGTGGCTCAGGAACCAAACTGCCGATACTGCAATAGAGGATTACTGGATTCCAAAATTCTGTTGCCACCACATCAACTTGGAGCCAGTTCCGTGGAGACTCTGCTTACCTTCCTTCTCCCTGCTGCACCCCCACCCCCTCCAAAAGGAGGATATTTCTAGGAGTCAGCAGTTATAGGGCATCAATGTAAAACAGTTAGAGCAAAGGAAGGAGGATTAGGAAAAATAATGCTTTCACATAGTATTTTTAGGATGGAAAATGTCCTCTGGAAGTAGTGCTTGAGGCAGGATCCATTGGTATTCAAAAGGGAGCAAGGTAGATGTCTGAAGAATAATAATCTGCTGTGATATGGGGAAAAGCACATTAAAGGACTGAATTGCATGGCTTGTTTCAAAGAGTGAATGTCACAGCCCTCAAAGACTCCAGGAGCATTGGGGCAAGAATTCTTCCCACTCTGCAAAGGCTTAATGAAGTTGGTGGTCCTGGGTGGACAAGCAGCAGAAAGTTTGATTGCAGTGAAGCTTGATAGTTGGTTATATTCCAGCTGTACCCAATAAACATTCTGGGGTCGGTAAGCCTTGGCATTTGACCTTGAGCGTCCTTATTGGAAGGGCGTGGGGAGAGGGAAAGAGAGCCGTCTCCACAGTGAAATGCTTGACAATAGAATGTGGGATTCAATTCAATCCTCTGCGGAGTTCTTGGTGCAGTACAGTACTCTCTTTTTGAGCCATGTATGTATGCAGTGATCCAGGCCACAGCGAATGACAGACCAGACATTCTGGCTCACCTGGTCTTGCGGGGGCATCCCAGTCACTGGAAATGGGGATTCTTCCCACTCAGCTCTTGTTAACCCTGCAACTCAAAGCCCTAATGGTGGTTCTAACTGGACAAACAGCGGGAAGTTTGCCAGAATGTACTCTCAATTTTAAGCAATGTAATTTTAGCTCATTAAAGTATCCCAACGCACACTCTGCGGGCCATGAGCCTTGGCTCTTGCCAGCCTGCACCTAATACTTTTCAGAATTGAACAAACAGAGTGTGTTCCTCCAGGAGAGAATGTGCAAATGTTTCAAGTCTGGAAATTTTCATGGGTAGGTGGCATGCATATGTGGAACCCTGTCAGGTTTGGGTATTAAGCATGATGGTGAGTTTCCACATAAATCAGACAACCAGCTGCTTAAAAAAATAAATTACAGTGTTTAGCAGTTTTTAGTTCTGCGACCTAGTCTCTACCACCCTTCGTGACAAAACATTGACAACCCTGAAGCTGCATCCTCTTGTTCTGTTACATTGGCGTGTCTGAAACTATTGCCCCGGTTTTAAGATGTTGACTTGAGAAGAATGTGGTTGAGTGTTTAGGGAGAACAACATCAACAACAAGATTCCATTTATAGAGCGCCTTTCACGTCAGGAGGACGTCCCAAGGCGCTGAAGTGAAAATCCAGGTGCGTGCTCGTGCCTTGATTTATAGAAATATTTTACCAATTATTTTTGCTATTCCTGAAATATCTAATTTCAGCTTAACCTCTTTAAATCATATCTTACTATATTCTTTGGTTTTGCATTGCCTGTTGGTTAGCTAAAGTTAAAAAATACAATCTGGAACCCATTACAGAGAGTATGAAAGACCTCTGTGATGTTTGCAGCTGCTATCAGATTGCTGTATTTCCTTCAAATTGAAGGTATTTTATAATTTTTTGGTAGGCATGAATGGCACTGCTAT